GGAGGAGGAGGAGCAGGAGGAGGAGGAGCGGAGCAGGACCAGGAGCAGGGGCAGGGGCAGGAACAGTAGCGAGCAGGCGCTGGAGCAGGAGAAGGAGCAGGAGTTGGCGGAGGAGGAGGCGGAGGCGGAGGCGGAGGCGGAGGCGGAGGCGGAGGCGGAGGCGGAGGCGGAGGAGGAGGAGGAGGAGGAGGAGGAGGAGGAGGAGCGGAGGAGGAGGAGGAGGAGGAGGAGGAGGAGGTTGAAGAGCAGGAGCAGGAGGACGAGGAGGAGGAGGAGGAGGAGGAGGAGGAGGAGGAGGAGGAGGGTAGCCCCCGCGGCTCAGGCGTCTGCCAGAGGAGGGGCTATTCTCTTGCACTTGCGAGCCGCTGTTTCCCCCCTTGCCCCCCGCGCCGCCATGGTCTCAGCAGCCAGGCTCCATTGGATCATCCAGGAGCTAGCGAATGGCCGCCAAGGCGTTGTCAGACTGTGTAGCCACAGTGACAAGATGATCATGCAGATCTGCCTGTTCCCCGTCTGGGAGCCGACTATGCGGAACAGCCTCATGATAAGTTTGCTCCACATGGTGCAGCTGGACATCGACAACGCTATCATCGTGGACCACGGGCACAAGAACTCCAAAGGCGAGTCCCGCATCCGTCTTGTCGTGAAGCCCCTTCCGGTTTTCGTCGAGGGCTTCTCTGGTACGCCGCCGGCCATGCGTTCTGCGGTGGAGGAGGGCTCCGAGCGCCAGACGCACGCCGAGTCCATCGGGCCAGTCCGGGCGCGCGAGAAGGGGGGGTCGTCCAGCGAGCAGCTGTCTGTTGCAGGTGGCGCGACTGGTTCGGGCTCTGTGGCGATGGAGAGCAAACCTTGCGCGAAGGCAGAGACTGATGTTGATGTGGTGAGGCCCCAGCGGCACGGAAAGGCCACTGCTCCTCAGCAGCACAGCGAGAAGCACGCATTCGCTCCAGGCGTGGCCGCGCGCCTTGTTGGCCTCGAGGCTAGGCCGCTGCTACGTGGTCGTGAAGGCGCCCTGAGCTTCTACGACGACGCTGCTGACCGCTGGGCTTTCAAGACCGGTGCGGAGGCCATTCGTGTCAAGGCATCGTGTCTTGAGCCAATTGGCTCCCATACGAAGAAGTCTCTCGGCGTGGCGTTCCAAACGGCCGCCTTCGAGTATCAACATTTGGACCCGGTTGCTAACGACCAGGTGTTCCAGCTGTTGCACGACCTTGCTGCTCGAGGAGGGCAGCCTGGGGCGGCCGCTTTCTTCCTGCCTTTATTCAGCGACAAGGCGGCCTTCGACAAGGTGTACTGCCACATGGCCGCCAGGAGTCCTGAGATCGCCTACCAGTGAGCGGTGCTTAGCTGCATTTTTGGTGTGCCAAGTGCGTCCACTCTTGTGCCCTCGTGCGCCATTCCTTGCGCCCCGCGTCGTCCGTTGGGTTGCGCTTCTCGTCGTGGCTGCTTGCGCCCCCGTGTATGTTGGGGTTGCGCTTCCCGTCGAGGGTTCTTGTTTCATGTGCTACTCGATCCTTCGGGCGAGTGCAGTGTTGCCAGGTTCTTGCGGGCGAGATTCGGCTGCGTCTCTCGTGCGCGTGTGGGCGCCACAGACGTTCGTCTTCCAGGGCTGTAGGGAGAAAGGGGGAGGGTGAACAGGAAGAAGAGCGGGAGGGGGAGGGGGAGGAGGACGACGAGGAGGGGCAGGAGCAGCAGCAGGGGCAGGAGAGAGCAGGCGGCGCTGGAGCAGGAGAAGGAGCAGGTGATCGTTTTTGTATTCATTATTTTGCCGATTGGCGCGGACCCTCAACCCCCCCCCCCCCTGGAGTAGTTTTTGGTTGTTTTTGGCGCTTGTTTCAAGCGGGTGGAGTCTCCACCAGAGGCCGCACTCTTGCAAACAGTCGCACTAAGCAGAGGTCTGCAGCCAGACCTCCCGCTCCCCCCCCCTCCCTTGCCGCCCAATGTCGAAACGCCGAACAAAAACAACGCCCACCAGGAGCAGGAACGAGGAGGAGGAGGAGGAGGCGAAGGAGGAGGAGGAGGAGGAGCAGGAGCAGGAGCAGGAGCAGGGGGAACAGGAGGAGGAGCAGCAGGAGGAGGAGTAGGAACAGGAGCAGGAGGAAGAGGAGGAGGAGGAGGAGGAGGAGGAGGAGGAAGAGGAAAAAGATCGGCAGCTGGTTGGTTGCCGGGCGCTCTTGCCCAGCGCGAGCCGGCGGCGGGTGCATTGCACGCTCAGCACCAGCCTAACAACCAATCGCACGGCCAGTTTTCGAGTGAGTTCAGGCGTCGTTTTCGGTAGATTACGCTGGAACCGAAAGAGGTTCATTACAGCATGGAGGTTGTGGAAACAGCACTCCTCCCACGATCGTGATTAGGAGTGAAACTCCCAGCTGGATCCGCGACATCGGCGGCTGGCCTTCCACCAGATGATTGGGCGCATCGGCGTGTGAATGTCGTTGGGAGAGCCACCTACCCCGCGAAAGCTGCGCGCACATCCCGCGCGTTGCACGCGCTCCAGGGGCCGTCCTCCGCGGATGGCAGCGAAGGGGGGACACGACCAACGACCGCGCGGACTCCGGCCCCCCCCGCCGCCGGAGGAGGAGCACGACGACGGCTAGGATTCAGTCGGACTTGTCCCTCTACAGGAGGAATGTTCAAAAACAGTGAAGAATAGTCCGGGAACGACTTGTTGAAGTATGGTTTTAGTTTTCCTTTCGTCCGGAATCCGCCTGTAGGAGGATATGCCCGACCTAAGACTGGGACCAGAGTCAACCGAAGATGTGCCGATGGTGGTGCTACGCTCTCCCGCCTTCGAGCCGAGACCCCTTCGTGTCGGGGCCCCCTCGGGCCCTCGGGCCTCCTGGCTCTCCCCCCTTGCTGGGGCAGCGTTTTGAAGGGGATGTGCTCAGGGGGGGCCACTCCTCGTCCGTCCTCTTCCCTCGTCCTCCTCCTCTTCCTTTTCCCTCCTCCCTCCTCATCCCTCCTCCTCCTCCGCCTCCTCCTCCTCCTCATCCGCCTCCTCCTCCTTCCCGCCTCCTCCTCCTCCGCCTCCTCCTCCTCAGCCGCCGCCTCCTCCTCCGCCTCCTCCTCCTCCTCCTCCTCAGCCGCCTCTTCCTCCTCTTCCTCCTCCTCCTGCCTTCTCTTCCATCCCTCAAATGACTCCTCCCTGTCGAACTCCCAGACGTGTTGGCAAGGCTGGCCAGGCGTTTTGTCTCCGACTTCTTTCTCTGAGCGTTTCCTTCCCTCCCCAGGGTAACGCCCGTTACGGGGGCCAAGCGCTTCCCCCACACTGGGGTAGTGCTAAGGATCGTACTGGGGGGGAGGGGGCCCTAGACCCCCCCACAAGCTGTGGCGCGCACAGGTGCGCTGGTGGCGCGGACGCACCCTGGCGGGTGGCGCGGCTGCACCCTGGCGGGTGCACGCCGCGGCTGCCGTTACCGTTACCTTTCCGCCCGCCGCCCCCCCCCGGTTACGACCGTAATCCGGGGTAACAAAAAGACCACCTCACCTGAACTTGAAGCTTGAGGGTGCACCAGCTTCACGGATGGAGGGGGGGCGTTTGCAAAATGAGGTTTTCGTTCAAGCGCCGCGCGCATTCGTTTTGAAAGTTTGCAGCAGCTTCAGGTACGGATGGGGGCTTCATAAGGTGGCTATCGCCCGAACGCCTCGCACATCCGCCTTGCAAACCTGCGGGAGCTTGCAGGATGGATGGGGGCGGCTCTCATCTCAAAACGGTGCTCTCGCCCCAGCGCCGCGCACATTCGTTTCAACATGTTCGGCGGCATCTGGGCGGTTGTGTGAGGAAAGGGGCAGGGTCATGGAGACGGCAGGAGAGGCCGGGCCCGGCCGGCCCCGAGGTCCGGACGGCCGTGCTCGAGCAGGACCAGGTCGCCGAGGTCGTGTGCCTGGAGCAGGCGGACCGGAAGGCCACCGGGCCAGATCAGCCGGCAGGTCGCGGGGTTCAGCGCACGCAGGGCTCAGTCAGGCCGCTGGAGCCTGCAGCTGCATCGGCGGATTTTGGCCGAGTCGGGTTTCTCAAGGCAATGGAAACGGGGTGACAGCAGACGGGGTAACAGGAAACGGCTGGTTCGAGGCACCAAGCGCGCACTGAATTGCAGTGCGCGTTTTTTATTGTTCGGCTTCGCGTTGAATGCAGCAATTACCACATGTTGTCTGCGTTCGAAGTTTTGGGATGCTGCGCCGTATTTTTTGGGGGGGCCCTGTGTTGCCCAGTCTGTGGGGCTTGTTTGCAGTTCTCCCGCAGCCAGTTGCAGAACACAGGCAGTGGAGTTTTTGTCGCGTTGCAGAGAAGCTGCCGTGCAAATTGGTGTTCTGGCCGTTGCAATCTTGCCGACGGTTGGTCTGCTAATCCGCCCAGGTGTTACCAGGTTTCGTTTTCTCTGCGTTATGGGCGCCGCTCGCGGCTCTGGAGGTGGCCTTGCATCTTGGCCGAAGCGGGTTGGGGGAGTCCACCAAACAGTTGCGGCCTAATGTGTATCTCTAGAGCGGCAGAGCCAGGTCTGCGCTGAGCCGGGCTTGCGCTGCACGCCCGACCCGATCGCTTGCGGCTGTTGCCTGGATCTTGTCTCGTGACGCGTCGCCGTCCGCGGAATGTTTCGAGTATGAGATCCACTACAGGACTTGTTTACCCAAGAATTGATGGTATAATGTTCGTTGATGGACGAATGTTGTATGTCTTCCTTTCGTGTCTTGGCGGCCATTTTGAGGTACATCAGTTCTGTATTTGATCTCCTAGTCGAATGTTGGGATGGGGCGCGCAGGTGATTTCCAGGGGGGCCTCCTGAGGGCCTCCAGGGATGGTGCGGTGTCGGGCTGCGTAGAGACAGCCCCCCCCCAAGAAACCAAGAAACACAATTGGGATAAACGTCTTGGATGCGCGATGGCCCCCCCCCTAGCGGCTGGCGCCTCTGGCGCCGCCCCTGGCGCGCAAGACACCCAGACGGAGTTCCAGCAGTCTCTGTGTATATTGATGCTTGTTTCCCAGTTCGGGCTGCGCACAGGAAGCCCCGCCAAGAAGGTCCCGGCTGGGGAGCCGCCTTTCTCTTCAGCGGGTGCGTGGTCCTTGACAGGATTGTTAAGTCGGGTCTGTCCTTTACAGGAGGAACGAGCGTTCAAAAGTAGTAAAAAATAGTCGGGGGACGATTTTTGACCATGTTTGATTATGGTTTGCATATTTTTTGAGCACTTATGTTTTTTCGCCCAAACTCCCCCAGTAGGGGGACAGGCCCGACCTAAGAATGCATCCTCTGCGTCTTGAGTTGAGTTGTGGAAGGCGATCACTGGAGAGGAAGCATGTTGCCAACTAATTTCCAGATTTCTTAAACATTGTTAAAACTGTTTTAAACATGCAGGACATTTTCCGACACTTTAAACACATGCTTAATTCGATGATAAGTATGTAATGGTTTCCATTGTCGTGGCATCTGCAAGTCTTGAGCTCCGGGACCTTGCCTTCCTCGGGCTCGGCTGCCTGCATCACCGCGGGGGCTGCTGATGGTGGCAGAGGTGGTGGGCCTGTTTTCCGCCACAGCTACCATATGTAGGAGAGGAGGAGGAGAAGTAGTAGGAGGAGGAGGATGATGAGGAGGAGGAGGAGGTTCCAGGGGTTGAACACAGCGAAGAGCCCGAAGCTTGCGGAGCTTTGCAACGACGGGGTCTTGGGCAACTCCCGCTGAGGTGCCGCCCTTGCCCATCACGAGGGCAGGTGTGAAATCGATGGTCCATCCCGCCTCGCGAGCAGCTCGAGTCGCGGCCGCTTGCTTCAGCTCGTCGGCCAGGGGGTGCCCCTGGAGGAGGACTGCATGCACCCCTTCCTGTTAGCTGCCATCCTGGAGCTGCTTCAAGCAAGGGCCCCGTCCAGTGATGTTTCCCTTCATGCTGGAGAGGCCGTTGGGGCAGTCCTTGCGACAGCTTGGCGTTCTGCGTGCCGAGGGAGCTGTGTGCTTGGCACCTCCACCACCGCGCCCGCCGTAAATGTGGGCAGCCAGGCCATCCAATCCACCGGATGCGTTGGAAATTCAAGGGAGAAACCCAATCCAAGCCAGCAGCGACGGCAGACGTCCTGCTTGACCAGTGCGCGCCTGCGCCCGAGGCGCGGGTCGGTGCCGTCTGCACACGGATGCCTCTGGAAGTGCTGCCCGTCAGCCCATGGGGGGCAGCCAGCGTCCCCAGTGGCCGGCGCGTGCCCATGCCACAGGCGCGGGCTGGTGCCGTCTGCTCGGGGAGGCCGCTTGTCGCGTCGTAGTCGTGCCCACCCGGGACGGAAGTGCCCAGCAGGCCGCTGGAGGCAGGGGAGGCCCATCCATGCCAGGGGGTTCAGCAAAACTTGCGCGGCGACTTTGACCCTTCCCCGACGGAGGCATCGGCCACCCGCCCGTCGGCGGCCTCGTCGGTGGGGAAGCTGGGGGAAGGTGCTTCGGCCACCCGCTCGGCAGCGGCCCCCCCTCTCCAGCTTGCATCGAGGTCTGCCCGCTCGGCTCCCTCAGGTCACCCCCCTTTTTTATCCCCTGCCACCAGGAGTGGGTGCAGCAAAACCCGGTGCCCAGCAAGGACTCCCGTGGCCTCTCTGGCCCTCCCTCGGCAGAGGCGGTGGCCACCCGCCCGGCGGCGGCTCCTCGTGGCGGGGCGGGGGGGGGGCCGGGGGCCCAGACCCCCGGCGTCGTGATTTCTCGTGACGCGGCCCCCACGAGGTCCGGACCCACCCATCGGGACCGGTTTTTTTTGCCCGAGCCGTTCTCTGACGGCCCCGAGGCCTGGTGAGGGCTCCCAGAGGCCGGAGATAGCGAAGCGCGCCCCGTTGTGATGTTTTCGCGGCGCGGGGGGGGGCTCGGGGAGGGGGCTCTGGCCGCCCGCCCGTCAGTGGCCCCTCGTGACGTTGCAAAAAAAAGTCGCGACATCGCGAAATACCACAACCTGCGCTAGGCAATTAGGTTTGCGCGTAGCCTGCCCGACCTCTGACGCTGCTGGCGCGCTCGCCTGCGGCCGCGACGAAAAAGAAACACCACAACCGGAGCCCCGGACCCATCGTCCTGCGCGTTGTTTTTCGAGCCGGGCCGATCTGTGAGGGCCCCAGGGCTCTGATGTTCCACCCTGCTTAGCCTCGATCACCCAGAACGAATTTCGAGCACCAAGGAAGTGCCGAAACTGGAGGATTTTCACGTGTCGGGCCCTGGGAGGCGATATTCGCTCGACACTGTTTCGATACTTCCCTGGGTGCTCGAAACCACCTCTGGGATGTGACCCTCGAGTGCGATGGGAACAGCAGAACCCCAGGGGCCCCAAAATCGTGCGAAGACGCCCGTTGTGCCAAGTCGGGCACGCCCCGCAGGCCAGGAGTGCACCCTCGAGGATCTAGGAGGGCCGGAGGATCGAGGATCGAGGAGGGAGGATCGAGGATCGAGGAGGATCGAGGATCGAAGCTCGAGGACCGAGGAGGATCGAGGATCGAGGAGGGCCAGAGCATCGAGGATCGAGGAGGATCCAGGAAGGAGAGCGTGGTCGCCTCTTGGGGCCCGCCCCTCGGGGAGCTGCCCGCCTCCGCGGCGTCCGCGCCAGGGCCTGGACAGGCTGGTGGGCGTCACCGTGCCGCTGGTGCGGGTGCCCGTGCCGCCGGCGCAGGCCCGGGCCGTCCAGGCGACAGCGCGGGCCCGCGGCCCGGGCGGGGGAGGAGCAAAGGGTCGACGATTGGGGGATCGAGGGTCGAGGAGGGAGATCGGGCACCGAGGATCGGGGATGGGACTGCTCCTCCTCCCCGTTCTCCTCCTCCTCCTCCTCCTCCTCCTCCTCCTCGTCCTCCTCCTCCTCCTCCTCCTCCTCCTCCTCCTCCTCCTCCTACAGACAGACCAGAAGACAACGAGGACGTAGAGATCACGTGACATGCGGCACACAAAAGAACGCCGCACGGGCACGTTGGCCCGGGAGGTCACCTTCAGATGGTTGCCGCCGACCCGTGCGGGTCCAAGGGCGCAAGGAATGGGGCAGCGTCATCGTCGGGCGCTGACGGGGACGGAGCGGCATGCACACCCGTGGCCTCGATCGCTCTCTCTCTCTCTCTCTCTCTCTCTCTCTCGAGAGAGAGAGAGAGAGAGAGAGCAGCACGGCAGACGGGTGAAGGCCAACCCCCTGTGGTCGGGAGGATCCGCTGCTCTGGATTTGCCACCTGCGTTGCCTGCACACTGTGAGGAGTAGAGCACGCGTGAGTTTTGACAGGCCTATAGGCCGCGGAATAGGACTGTGTGCATCCTGGTCCAAGGCATTCAAGCACTTGTGGGTCATTCCAGGGCGATGGCCAATGAACAGCATGGCAAGCAACGGTGAGGATGAAGCAACGGGGCAGTTGGCATGATCTGGCATGGCAGAACAAGGATGCACAGAGGAGAGCCTCACGATTGGCACTGACAGCTCGCTCAAAAGCTTTGGGAGACAGCTGCGGGAGACCCTATACTCGATTCCTCTTAGTGGCTTGGAGCCTCCATAGCTGTCCTGTATCTATGTGCCAGTAGTTGGTAGAGCTATCAGGGCCGCCACTCGCCGCCATAGCGTACAGAACATCTCGCTTGCGAGCGTCAACAACATGCTTACATGTAACAGTAAGTACATGTAGGGATTGCGCCAGGCCTCTGGCTCTCTCCCCTCGAGGCACCACTGGAAGTCATGTCGACTTCGGCCCAAGGAGGAGAACACAATAATGCACTGCGCTCCGCTGGGAGCCACCACTGGGGCGGGCACTGGGCCGCCCCAGTAATGGCTCCTCCTCTTCTTCCTCCTCCTCCTCCTCTTTCTCCTCCTCCTCCTCCTCCTCCTCCTCCTCTTGCTCGCCCTCCTCCTCCTCTTCCTCGCCCTCCTCCTCCTCCTTATCGCCCTTCTCCTCGTCCTCCTCCTCCTCCTCCTCCTCATCATCATCATCATCATTCTCTTCCTCGCCCTCCTCCGCCTCCTCCTCCTCTTCCTCCTCCTCCTCCTGAGGGGATCGAAGGTCGAGGACGGGGATCGAGGTTCGAGGGTCGAGGGAGGAGGACGGATCAAGACGTCTGCAGGGCCGCGTGGAATCCGTAGGTCGGCGCTCTCGGCCTTTCCCCCCGGCGGCGCCCCTCGGGCTCAGCGCGCGCTCGCCGCGGTCTCCGGGGAGAGGGGGTCCAGCACAGGCCTCGAAGCAGAACGACACACGAACAGATGCATCCCCCCCCTATGCCAGTCCCCCCCCCCATCGTTGTCCCGCAGAGGAGGGGGGCCTTTCTCGGAGCCGCAGATGGGAGAGTTTCGAAGAAGAAAGAACTCATAAGCCTTAATGTTTTGTTGCTCCGCGTAGATTTCTTGGATTCGCGCCCGGGCCCCCCCCGAGGCGCCTCCGGCGCCGCCCCTGACGCGCTCTGCGCGCCAGGGAGGCGGGTCCAGCGCGAATCCAAGAAGTCCGCGCGGACCTCTGAAAGTGTAATCAAGAGGCTTACAGTGGGAACCTATGCCAAGAAACACCCTGCTTGCCTCCAGGGTGCCCTGAGTTTCTTGGGTTTCGACGGTTTTGCTATGAAAAGCGTGACGTTCCCACACCAAACGTCCATGGACGTCCTCGGGTCTCAGGGTTGGGTTTCTTGTGGAAGGTTTCTTGTGGACTGGCCTCCACTGTACGTCATTCCGCCGAGCCCCATGAGACACTCGATTGATTTAATTGGTGCGAAAGGATGGACTTGGACAGGACTTGCACTTAGCATCGCGAGCACCCTGAAGCGGGGACTGTTGCAGGCTCCGGGGGGCATCTTGGGGCCCTCTGTGGGCTTCTTGGGGGTCTGAGCGGGGCCTCCGCGGGGTATGGTGGAGTTCTTGGAGGCCATTTTGTGGGCCAGGACCCCTGGGGTCGCCTCGAGTTCCAGACGGCCCCCAAAGGCCCCCAAGAGGCTCCCAAGAAGCTTCCAAAAGGCCTCCAACACGAAGGATGACACGAGGTTTTTGAAGAACTTCCCTTTCGCTTCCGAAGGGCCTCTCAGGCCCCAGAACGGTCCAAACATGGCCCACGAGCTCGACGAGCCCTTAAGCGGCCCAAAACGGTCGTCTGGGGCCCCCGAGACCCTTCACGATGTTTCGGAGACGGCCGAAGATGGCTTCGAGACGGACGTGGAGCCCGCCAAAACGGTTCCAACTAGCCTCCTGACGGCCCAAGACAGTTTAATTTTGCCCCAAGATGCTTCTGAAGGCCCCAAAAGGCTTCCAAGAGGTCCCTCTGCTGCCAAAATCATTCAATAACTAATGAGGAGAACCAACAGTGTTTGCAGGTTTGACATTCTCTCTTCCGAGAGGCCATTGAGGTCTCAGGATGGTCCTCAGGCTGGCTCCGAGATTGCCGAAGATGGCTTCGAGACAGCCCTTGAGCCCGCCAAGACGGCCCCAGATGGCCTCCAGACGGGCCCATACAGCTCCAGATGGCTCCACAGCCGCCCGACCACGCGCCAAAGAGGCTCACAATACGCTTCCAGCAGTCCCCCACAGGGCTCGTTTCGATTCCTCCGATGCGATGCGATTCGATTCGACTTCGATGGCTTCCGATTCCGATTCGATTCCACTTCGGATTCTGATTTGGATGCCGAATCCTCAGTGAGGCCTTACTACTCTGCCGATTTCCGACGACCCGATTAATTTCTATCGCCGATCCGACTCATCGATTCGATTCTTGGTTCTCCTGCCCCCAGGGGACCCAAATCCTTCACTCCCGATGGCCCGTTCGAGCCTCCTACTTTTTTTGGTCAGCGGCCACCAGACAAGGGTCAGGCGGCAAAGGCAACGTCTGGGCCACGAACGAGGCTAATTGGCTAGAACAGCGCCGGCTCGAGCCCCCCCACGCGCAGCCGGCCCGATGCTCCGGAAGGCCTCTCCGGGAAGATCCGGCCGACGGCTCTACGACCACTATGATGATGGCTATCATGACGATTTTCTGATTCATGGTTTTGAGAATGCAGACGGTGATAATGGTGATGATAGTGATGGAGACTTTGGTGATCATCCTCATACTGAGGATGATGGTGATTGCTATGATGCTGATGATGCTGATGATGATGATGCTGCTGGTGGTGATGATTATTCGTTGCTGACGATGATGATGATGATGATGATGATGATGATGGTGATGGTGATGATGATGATGCTGATGATGCTGATGATTCAGATTCTGATTATGATGATGATGATGATGATGATGATGATGATGCTGATGATGATGATGATGATGATGAGGATGAGGATGATGATGATGATGATGATGATGATGCTGATGATGATGATGATGATGATGATGATGATGGTGATGATGATGATGATGATGATGATGATGATGATGATGATGATGATGATGATGATGATGGTGATGGTGATGGTGATGGTGATGGTGATGGTGATGGTGATGATGATGATGATGATGGTGATGATGATGATGATGATGATGATGATGATGATGATGATGATGCCCCCGCCCTTCCTACCTCTCTTTCTCTGACGAACCTCCGCATGCACATCACGCTCCCTTGCCTGCAGGGATGGGGCAGCATGAGAGAATGCTGACGGAGGGAGGGGTGGGGGGATGGGGAACGGCAAGGAGCACGGGCATGACGGGTACCGACGAGGCGCCCGACGAAGGGAAGGTGGACGAGGGGATACATAGGAGAATGATGATGATGATGATGATGATGATGAGGAGGAGGAGGAGGAGGAGGAGGAGGAGGAGGAGGGCGAGGAGGAGTAGGAGGAGTAGGAGGAGGAGGAGGAGGAGGAGAACGAGGAGCGTTCCCTGGTGTTCCCCTTCCGTGTCCTCTACGCACAGCTGGCCGATTTTCACATAGGTCTCTGCGGGAACATCAGTCCGACGGTACGACAACGACGACGACAATGATGATGGTCATCATGACGATTTCCGGAGTACTGGTTTGAGAGTTCCTCAAGATTGAGCTCCCGCTCGAGACGCCCTCATCATGATGATAATGATGATCGTTGTATTGGTGATGATCATCATGATCACGATGCTGATACTGGTAACTATGCTGATCATGATTATAACCATGAATAAGAGGGTGATGATGACGACGATTGTAATGCTGACGTTGATGGCGATGCTCACCATGGCCATCATGATGACGATGCTGATCACGATCAATACCATGGTTGATGATGATGCTGATTCTAATGATGCGGTGGTGATGCTGATGATGACGATGCTGATGCTGATGGTGATAGTGATGGTGATGCTGCTGATGATCATGATGCTGGTCATTCTGATGCTCATGACAATGACGTTGATGGTGATGGCGACGGTGATGTTGATGACGATGTTAATGATGCTTCTGTTGCTGCTGATGATGATGATGATGATGATGGTGCTTCTGCTGCTGCTGATGGGGGTGGTGGTGATGCTGATGATACTGATGACGATGATGATGGTGATGGTGATGGTGATGATGATGCTGATGATGCTGATGATGTTGATGCTGATGATGATGCTGATGATGCTGATGACGTGATGCGAGTGATGATGATGACGATGATGATGCTGACGATGTTGATCATGATGATAATGCTGCTGCTTATGATGATGATGATGATGATGATGCTGATGATGTTGATGATGATGATGATGATGATGCTGCTGCTGCTGCTGATGATGATGATGATGATGATGGTGATGATGATGATGATGATGATGAATATGAAGATGTTGATGTTGATGATGATTATAATGCTGATTACAATGATGATGATGGAACGTATTATGATATGGTCATGAAGCTTATGTCAAGCATGGTACTGATGACGATGATGAGCAGGAGGAAGAGGAGGAGAAGGAGGCGGACAAGGCTAATGGTCGTTACAATGATCGTCGAAACGCCCAGATGCGTGACTTCAAGAGGCCCCAATCGGCTCTCACAGGCACCCAGGGAGCTTCAACAAGCCTCCCGAAGGCTCGTTACTAGCGTCCCACACTTCGACAAATGCTCCCCGATGCGCTCATTCAACTTGATGTTCAACACCTTCACTCCAGACGGCCGCACTCGCTTGTGGCCCTCCAGCATGTGCTAGAACTTGAGAGCGCGCGTATATGGTCATACACAGATGGATGTATACACATGCATCTCGGTCTCGCTACGCGAGCTGGGCCACGAGCTCGAGGCCCGTCTCTTGCTGGTGGCACTGCGATCTGCGTGTTGCCCAGTCGTCCCGCCGCCGCCCCCTCGGCGGCGAGCCGAGGGGGGAACCGAGAGGGGGCAGGCCTTCTCAGAGGGCGGCGGGGCTTCTCGGCGGCCCTCGCGCCTCCCGAGAAGCCGCCCGTGCCTTTGGGGAGGGCCCCGAAAGCCCCTCGGAAGGCTGGAGGTCCCCCGAGCCTTCCGAGAAGGCCCGCCCCCTCTCTGCCTGCCCTTCTGGGCGCGCCGCCGACTGGTGGGGGGACCAAAAGGGTCACGATACAGTTGGGGCCCATGCCAAGAAACACCCTGCTTGCCTCCAGGGTGCCATGGGTCTCTTGGGTTTCGATGGTTCAGCTGTGGAAGGCGTGACGCTCCCACGCAAAAAGTCAATGGACGTCCTGGGGTCTCGGGGTTGGGTTTCTTGTCCTCTCCTCTCCATGGACATGCGTCCCAGCCAGGATCTCGAGGAGAATTCAGCCGTGGGGGCGAGGCATTCCTGGGACGAGCAGTGGCGTCAGTACTCTTGCCTGTTTTGTGTGTCTGTGCCAATGCCCTGGCCCCAGACATGTGATGCCTTCGATGTTCTGAGTGCGCGGTCCTATCGGAAGTCCCCACCCACTCCTCGGGGGCCGGTTTTTCATCCCGAACCGTGTTTTGTTGACGGCCGTGGGGCCAATCGAGGACCCTAGAGGCAAGAAATAGAGAAAAGGAGGTGCAGGGGAGGCCCATGCTCAGAAACACCCGGCTCGCCTCCAGGGTGCCCTGGGTTTCTTGAGTTTCGATGGTTCTGCTTTGGAATACGTGACGTTCCCACACCAGAAATCCATGGACGTCTTGGGGTCTCAGGGTCGGGTTTCTTGTGGAAGGTTTCTTGTGGTCGGGCCCCTACTGTACACCCATCAGACAACTTAAGAGAACGCGTAAACTTCCGTGGGCCCCAGATGTCGTTGAAGAGAATCAGAAATCTGGACTGGGTCCTGAGCGTTTTCTTGGAGTTCTTTTACCGCAGAACTGTCGCATTTTTGGACCTGGACTGCTGTTGAAGAGAATGCCCGGAGTCAAGGCAATTTTTCCCCAGTGGGAAATTATCTGAACCCTAAGCAGGGGTGTGCCTTGAAGTCGGGCCTGCCCCTCTGCAGGAGGAAGCTTCAAAATAATCACATCATCGTCTCGGGGCGATGTCCCGACCATCTTCCAGACCACCTCCGAACATTTTTGGGCTGCTGTTTTTATGCTTCGTCCAAGACCCGCATGTGGGGGGACATGCCCGACCCAACCCTGCGCAGGGGCGTACGTCTTCTTCCCCTGGAGCTGGAGCTGCACTCGCGCCACCCTCTCCGCCGCGCTCGCCGCCGCCCCGCCGTGCTCGCCGCCGCTCACCAGCCCCCCCCCAGGGGCAGGGCTCCTGGCGACTCCTCGACTCGATTCGGCTCCCCGATTCGACTCCTCGGACTCGGCTCGCTTCGACTCCGATGGCTCCCGATTCCGAGTCGAGCCGACTCCGGTCTCCGATGTGGATGCCGCTTCCTCCACGAGGCCTCGCCACTCCTGCCGAGTTCCGCATCTGCGGCTCCTCCCGCCCTCGGCTGCCGCTCTCCGCCGGCCCGAGGCACTTCGATCGCCGCTCCGGCGTGTGTCGAGTCGACGCCGGGCTCTCCTGCTGCCCCCCCGGAGAGGGGCGGCGCGGCGCCGCCGCAGAGCGGGCCCCGGGCGGCGACGGCCAGCTGGTGGACGCGGCGTGGCAGGGGCTCCGCCGGGGGGGGAGGGGGGAGAAGTCCCTCCCCTCTGCACGAACGAAATGAACACGGAAAGAATGGGCACAATGCCCAACAGCGGATCTGGT